AGACAGACAGAACTATAGTTGGACTGTCCGACAGACTGAAATTGATATTCTCTAATTTCAGCGGGGGCAACAAACGAGCAAGCTTAGCCAGTTGTATTTTCTTTCCGAAGTATCTGTTATATGACTTAACAAGTCTCTCCACTATTTAGCATCGGGATCGAAATGATTTGTAGTGAAAACGAAAGTAAAAGCAGTAAATACTGAAAAGCTAAAAATATGTAATAAACCAATGTTTGTGCTGTAGATTTATATACATAAGTAAAAATACTTTCAATATATTTTATAAAAGAGCTCAAATTTACGCGTCAAACACTAAATTCATCCAACAGTAGCAACTATATGCTTCGCTGCGTAGAACACATGATCACATGTGCGAACCAGTTAAATTACTGCGAACCAGTTAACTGTTTGAAACCTTCTATACAAAAATAAGCATCGGGAAATTCCTTTTTGAGTTAAATTTACAGATTACTTTGGTGTTTAATAGGGATTTGTTGGTTTACAATCTATATTGATTTTACTGAAATAAAATTAGCAGGCGTGATTTACTGCAGAACCACTCCCAGAATTCCAGGTCACGCAAGCGCATTGGAAGTTCTTCGTACCATAACTAGTCAGCCCGCGGGCTGACTAATAAAATATCAAAACCCAAGAACTCTGTATTCTGTTCTGATCTCTACCGACGGGTTACATAATTTTAAAAGAAGTCCCTTATCCTATTCAAACAAATATTGATGCCTTGCAGTCAACATGAAATGACCTACCCTGTCTCTCATGGTTTCCACGCATTCTTTCAGCATGGGGACAACACCATTAGGTGGCAGACCTTTCTCCAGCTGCATCACAGACTTGGCAAACTTCATGGTTGTGTTGTTCATCTGCTCTGGGTCCAAGGTCTCAAATGGAACCTACAATGATATTAATTTGAAATATGTTTATCATCTGTTTACATGCCCCTGCCCTCGGTATTTCCAATGTCTAAAAATTTACTAATCAATATCTAGCTAAAACCAATATGATTGAATTAAATTCACATAAGAAATAACTCTAAATATCATCTGATTTATCAAATTTATTACACAACAATTATTGCTTTTACCAGCTAACCCTAGGAAGAATGCATTCTCTTTTTTTTTTAAACTTTCCAACCCCTGTTCCCCCATGTATTCCACTTACATTCATCCACTCATTGATATGGCCATCCCACTCATCAATGGCGGTCCACAGCAGTTCCTTGAGCTTCAGTTCCGCGTGGACTTCCTCCAGAGCGTCGTACTTGGTGACCTCGACCTTGAAGTTCTTCTGGTAGGACTTGTAGGTGAAGGCCTGTTTCTGTAGACCCTCAATCTGGTTCAGCATTCTCTTCAGAATACCCTGCACCTTATCTTACTCTGCAGTGGAATCCAGGATCTATATGAAAATTTTCTTACATTGGACATAAAGACATTCTAATGTGACGGTTTTGGTTTTTATTGAATATTTAATTTGTCTTTATTAGCATATTTAGTGCCTTAAATTACCTTAAAGTTTATACATTTTCCGATAGTCATCCCTGATGTTCAAAGTCCCGTTTTTGTAACTTTATTTGTTTTCACATGTGCTCAAGTTAAATTTACCTCCATTTTGGCTGTCATTCCGAACTTATTTTGTATCCTGACTTTTCATTGGTTGACAGATAGTACTTAGAACATATCAGAAGTCATTTTAGATATTCACATTACTATTTCAAAGCTACTTTGTTAGAATGATTTTTATTGGTCAGAGTTTATATATAAACGGTAACAGCGGCAATTTCAAGTCACTCTCTAGGCCAAAGAACCCAAAGGTTCAAGCTTTCTCTTCTTAGCTCTTAGGGTTTAATCCCGGACTGCTCCTGCAGTCTCATTTTTTTGTTTAGGACACGATCTAAATTCTGTAAAATGTAACTAAGTCCTTAGCTAGAGTCACATTGGTTCAAGGATGAATTAGATATCCCTAGGCCTTTATAGCGTTATAGATAATTATGTTCCCCAAACGGAGTTTGGGAACATATTGTTTTTACTCGGTTTCTTATTATTATGTTTCCCAAACAGAGTTTGGGAACATATTGTTTTTACTCGGTTTCTTATTATTATTAAGGTCTTCCGTCTTCAGCGGAAGACCTTATTGTTATTTTTCTTAGGTTTCTTTTCCACTATTTTTATTATTGTTTTTTTTTCTTACCGATTTTGTGCGCGCGATTTCTCAAGAACGGCTCGATCGATTTTCATGAAACTTTCAGGTCTGATAGAACATTAAAAAGTCTAGACATATATTTTTTTATTTTGATGACGTCACTTCCGGTTCGGAGTTTTTGGTGATTTAGTGATTTTAAGAGGGTCACTTTGTCCGGCAGTTTTCTCAAAAAGCTCTTAACACAGAAGCATGAAATTTTCACTGATGCTTAGAGCAACCTTTGGAGAAGTGCACTTAGTATATCACAACTACCGGAAGTACGAAGCGCCGACGCTCGCTATGGCCCGAAAATAGACCTATCAAGATTTTCAAAATTTTTACCACCTTTTCTACAATAACTTTTTACCAAGAAATATTTTGTTAAAGCATGTAGAACAAAAAAGGTGTAGAATTATAAGATCTTTCAAATGACATCTCGAGTAAAGGGCTGGCCCCTTAAATTAAGGGCCAGGAGGGGCCAAAACTTTTTTCTTTATATCTCAAAAAGTCTTGAGAATTTGTAATACGTCAAAGAAGCAAAGTTGTTCAAAATGCCAAGCTTAATCTATTTGTGTCGTCAAAAAACGTCCGTCGTCGTCACTTCCGGTCAAACCGGAAGTAGTCAAAAACGCGTATTTTTGCCGTTCTTGTCAAGTTTTTGGGTAAAATATGTCTCTGGGAGCTTAAAAATTAATTTTCCGTCCGTCGTCATCACTTCCGGTTAAACCGGAAGTAGCAAAAATTTGCATATTTTAGCATTAATTAACATACCTTTAGGGGATTCAAACCATTTTTTGGCAATATTTATCATTTTTGTTAAAAATGAAAGCCACTTCCGGTAAAACAGGACGGAAGACCTACTCGTTGCTTTGCAACGAGCTCGGCTCTAGTTATGTTCCCCAAACGAAGTTGGGGAACATATTGCTTTTACTCTGTTTCTTATTAAGGTCTTCCGTTTCAGACGGAAGACCTTATAGTGATTCTACTGTTTCTTTTTAAGGTCTTCCGTCTTCAGCGGAAGACCTTACTGTTATTCTTAGGTTTCTTTTCCACTATTTTTAGGGTCTTCCGTCTTCAGCGGAAGACCCTTCTATTATTCTTCGGTTTCTTTTTTACCTTTATTATTATTTTTATTCTTTTTTCTTCTTACAAAATTTGTGCAGACGATTTCTCGGAGATGAGTCGTTCGATTTGCTTCAAATTTTCACAGTCGATGCGTTGTCATCTGAAGTTAATTCCGGCAAATTATTTTTTGGAAATTCACTTCCGGTCGGGAGTTATCGCCCTTTGATCAAAATTTGGAGGACCTCCTTGTCTGTGATGGAACTCAAAAACGGCTCAAGCTAGAAAGCTGAAATTTTGAGTGATGATAGAGGACATGTTGCCATGTTGCACCTGGGTCAGGATATTTTCCGGAAGTGCCTAGTATGGAAGCTCGGTAGGGGTCAAAATTTAGGACACGTTTTATGAGTGATTTTTTGAGACATTTTGTATCATATCTTTTAAAATATAAATATTTTGTTAAAACATACTGAACAACATTTGTGCAAAATATCAAGATCTTTCATATGATATCAAGAATTATGTGCTGACTCATCAAATTAAGGGCTGAAAGGGGACAACAGTTTTTATTCAATAACTTTTTAAAAGTCAATATTTTGTAATACATTACTGAAGCAAAGATGTTCATCTCAACCATCTACAACTATATATTATGATTTCCATGTCGTATGGGACATAATTAGGGGCCAAAAGGGGCCAGAATGCTAAATCTTTGATGCTTTATATCTCGAAACGGAGAAATATTTTGATAAGCAATATTGAACAAAAGTTGTTCAAAATAATGTTCTAAACAATATGCAACCTTTCATTTTTTGCTAAACGTTCCCATTAAGGAGTTGAAGGGCTGGCCCCTAAAAATTTCTTTTTCTAATATCTCAAAAACGAAAAAGAATTTCTGAACAATTGTTGAACACAAAATGTTCAAAATCTTAAGATCTTTAGGATGAGATCCCGAAAAAGGGGCTGGGCACTCGAATTAGGGGCCAAGAGGGGCCAAAAGTCTTCAATCGATTACTCTTTATCGGTTAATATTTTGTAATACATTACTGAAGCAAAGATGTTCATCTCAACCATCTACAACTATATATTATGATTTCCATGTCGTATGATACATAATTAGGGACCAAAAGGGGCCAGAATGCTAAATCTTTGATGCTTTATATCTCGAAAGGGAGAAATATTTTGATAAGCAATATTGAACAAAAGTTGTTCAAAATAATGTTCTAAACAATATGCAACCTTTCATTTTTTGCTAAACGTCCCCATTAAGGAGTTGAAGGGTTGGCCCCTAAAAATTTCTTTTTCTAATATCTCAAAAACGAAAAAGAATTTCTGAACAATTGTTGAACACAAAATGTTCAAAATCTTTAGATCTTTAAGATGAGATCCCGAAAAAGGGGCTGGGCACTCGAATTAGGGGCCAAGAGGGGCCAAAAGTCTTCAATCGATAACTCTTTATCGGTAAATATTTTGTAATACATTACTGAAGCAAAGATGTTCATCTCAACCATCTACAACTATATATTATGATTTCCATGTCGAATGGTACATAATTAGGGGCCACAAGGGCCCAGAATGCTAAATCTTTGATGCTTTATATCTCGAAAGGGAGAAATATTTTGATAAGCAATATTGAACAAAAGTTGTTCAAAATAATGTTCTAAACAATATGCACCCTTTCATTTTTTGCTAAACGTCCCCATTAAGGAGTTGAAGGGTTGGCCCCTAAAAATTTCTTTTTCTAATATCTCAAAAACGAAAAAGAATTTCTGAACAATTGTTGAACACAAAATGTTCAAAATCTTAAGATCTTTAAGATGGGATCCAGAAAAAGGGGCTGGGCACTCGAATTAGGGGCCAAGAGGGGCCAACAGTCTTCAATCGATAACTCTTTATCGGTTAATATTTTGTAATACATTGCTGAAGCAAAGATGTTCATCTCAACCATCTACAACTATATATTATGATTTCCATGTTTTATGGTACATAATTAGGGGCCACAAGGGGCCAGAATGCTAAATCTTTGATGCTTTATATCTCGAAAGGGAGAAATATTTTGATAAGCAATATTGAACAAAAGTTGTTCAAAATAATGTTCTAAACAATATGCACCCTTTCATTTTTTGCTAAACGTCCCCATTAAGGAGTTGAAGGGTTGGCCCCTAAAAATTTCTTTTTCTAATATCTCAAAAACGAAAAAGAATTTCTGAACAATTGTTGAACACAAAATGTTCAAAATCTTAAGATCTTTAAGATGGGATCCAGAAAAAGGGGCTGGGCACTCGGATTAGGGGCCAAGAGGGGCCAACAGTCTTCAATCGATAACTCTTTATCGGTTAATATTTTGTAATACATTGCTGAAGCAAAGATGTTCATCTCAACCATCTACAACTATATATTATGATTTCCATGTTTTATGGTCCATAATTAGGGGCCACAAGGGGCCAGAATGCTAAATCTTTGATGCTTTATATCTCGAAAGGGAGAAATATTTTGATAAGCAATATTGAACAAAAGTTGCTCAAAATAATGTTCTAAACAATATGCAACCTTTCATTTTTTGCTAAACGTCCCCATTAAGGAGTTGAAGGGTTGGCCCCTAAAAATTTCTTTTTCTAATATCTCAAAAACGAAAAAGAATTTCTGAACAATTGTTGAACACAAAATGTTCAAAATCTTAGGATCTTTAAGATGATACGAAAAAAGAGGGCCGAGTCCTAAAATTAGGGGCCGATAGGGGCAAAAGGCCGATTTTTTAATGTTCAATGTCTTTTTTCAGATTGTTGTAAATCATTATTTTAGATTGAAAATCGCAATCAAAATCTTATCTCATCTCATCAAGAATTGAACGGAAGACCCACTCGTTGCTCGCAACGAGATCTCATCTAGTTATTATTATTATTATTTTTCTTACCGATTTTGTGCACGCGATTTCTCGTAAACTACTGGACCGATTCTCATGAAACTTTCACATCTGATAGGTACTGATCTGAACCTTATTGGAAATTTTTTTCGTCGATGACGTCACTTCCGGTCGTGAGATATGGACAATTTTCTGATTTTAAAATGCAATTTTGTCTTGATTACTTAGCGACAACTGCTTAAGATATGAAGCTAAGATTAATTGGAGATGATAGTTCATGATTTATAGCGTTGCAGAATCGCCTTTTCGTGCGTCGTCAATACTTCC